GGGGGGGGAACATTCCATGAATGATGTATAAATAATGTTTTTGTTTTAATGCTTTGAGAACATTATTAAAGATCAGATAACTTTGAACGAACGTTCTATTAAAGGTGGGGTAAGTGATTTCTGGTAGCCAATGTTGACATTTGAAATCACCAAAACAAACACGCCCCTACCCCAAAAGGGTCTCGCCCCTATTTTGATAGCTCCGCCCCACACATACGTGCAACCCAGGCAACGATTAGTTCTGTGAAACAAAGCAAAACTGCTGCTGCGTTCCATTCATGACGTATTGACACAAATTTAAAATGATTTTCAACGCTCGCTTTGTCGCGTCCAGTGTACTAGACAGACTTTAGCTGTTGCGGCGCAGACACGGTGTTACTCACCGATCGAGAAGAAACAAAGCAACCTCGCCGTCCGATCGCAGGCCTCCGCTCCTTGAGTTCTCTCCAGCGCTGCAAAGCTGATCCCATATTCACACGGGTCCTACTTCTTGCCTTGTTTCACAGACGTTTTCCTCTTTTGTTTTTTATCCGCCATCTCTATCTTTCTGTCGCTCGGCTTGGCTAATGTCCGTCCCGTGCGCTGAACGCGCTCTCCTCCACATCATGAGTAGACACGCCCCTTACTGCTGATTGGCTACAAGTTTGTTTTGCTATTCGGCTCGAATCGGTTTTCTAAAGTGTTTTTGAAAAATCGCTTACCCCACCTTTAATGTTACTGGAAGAATGTGCATGACTTTGAGAGAACTTTGCCAGAACGCATTTAAGCTGCTTTGATAAACAATATGAGATGAAACAAATGAGGCGAATCTCTTGTTATTTGTTTCGCAGGTGTTGTGGTCGGGAGGGTACATGGACGCGGTGAACGGGATGCTCCACATATCCGATCAGGAGCTGGCGTCCATGCGGAAGCTAGAGCTTCTGGAGGTGCTGTGTGAGGACGTGCTTCCCAGAAGCCTCTCGGAGATCCAGCGGCTCAGTGCTCAGCTGGAGCTGCACCGCGGATCGCTGCGGATGGACGACTTTGAGCGCACGGTCCTCACGATGGTGTTTACGGCTCAACAGCTCCAACATACCAGCCCCGGCCACCAGAGAGAGCTGTGGGTGAATGCACTCCTACGACTCTATAAAGCCATCAAAGGAGACCTGCGGCCGGAGTCGAGTAAAGCTACAAATGCCTGACTCTGAGAGAAGCATCTCATGTATCAGTCTACTGCAGTGCTTCTCAGCCAGGGGCTGCAGGACTGTCCCAGCTAACAGGGAACGTTCTGGCAAGCTTCTCTCAAAGTTATGAACAAATGTTCTTCCAGCAGCATTAATAGAGCATTTGTTCAAAGTGATCTGGTCTTTAATGAGCACATTATACATTCATTGTTTATGCACGTTTTTCTGAAACATTTTAGTTTACTTCTCTTTTTTTTTTTAACATCATACTAGTTTCAGAGGACTATCAAAAGTAACTTTATCAGAATGTTTGCAAAATGATCCAATAGAACGTTCGCTTAATCTCTTCTCTAATGTTCACATAACCAAGAAAAAATGTTTTTTAAACATTTTAAAAAAACTGGATGTTGAGAGAATATGAGATCATGTTTTTATAACTAATCTGGAACGCTAGCAAAACATATTTTTGTTTGCTAGGGTTCTGATCGCAGATATCAGAGGGAAAACAGTGCTAAATGCAAATAATAAAATGCAGCTAAGTATGTAATCAGGTAGAGCTAGTCAAATTAGACAGTGTCAATAATTGCAATGCGATTTGTATATGTTTTACATCATATTTGTAAAATGAGAAATAAATCATTTGAAAATAAATATAATATTTGAACTTAATAAAATAATTAATCTGTAAAATAAACAGATTTATAATTTTGAGAGCAGCTTCTTAATTCTGTAATTCTGTTATAGTATTTTTCACAAGTTAAATCAAATAAAAATTAGTGTGTCAGATTGGTCGAGACGCTACAAAGGTGTTAAAAAACAAATACAAATTCTAATAGTAAAATAATACAAACAAAACATGTATATTTATTTTACATAATACTTACAAAATTAGAAATAATTTGAAAATAAGTGAATATAAATATCATATTTGAACGAGAGAAAAAAATCTATAAAATAAACAGATTTTTAGATCGTTTAGATAGCAGCTTCTTTATTTTGTAACCCTATTATAGTATTTTCATTTTAGTTAAAAACACAAATAAAATGTTTTAATAAAAAATAAATCACCTCATTCTCAAAAAAGGTGAACAAAAGCACAAAGTAATGGAAAATACAACCCAAACTTGCAGCAACACTTAAAAATAAAGATTTTTTTTGCAGTGGAAAAGGTTCTTTAGATTATTCAAATGAACCTTTTCATTAGAACTGATCACTAAAAGGTTCTTTAGGGAACCGAAACGGGTTCTTCTACGGAATCGCTGAGAAAACAACCTTTATTTTGAAGTGTAAACTCTGGTTCCTGAAGCAGAACTGGTTGAGAAGCACTGACTGAACTGGACTTCTCTAATTACAGTGCGGTCAGATGAATATGACATGCATCTGTGTTTGCATAAGTTGACCTTCACAAAGACAGATCACATTCTTTGCATAAACGTGTTGTTGGTGCAGCTGATGGCACATTATACTACAGAATGAGCTCCTGATATGATCATCATCACGTCCTGGACCGTGTCTCCATGACACTTTCACCTGGAAATATTCCCAGTGGCACATCAAACCCTGCTGTCCGCTCGGCTGAGATCTGTGTTCAGGAGAAGTCATTGCTGAGAATGTGACTGATATTAAAGTTACAACTTCACAGCTTCATCGCTGCATTAAACAAGCCCCCCTACATGAGACAGTAAAGGACTGGAGGTTTCATTTCACCTGTGTTTTATTAAACACCTCAGGCAATATTTCAGCATCTGCCACCTGAGCAAAAGCGTTCAGACTCACTTATGAGACAGTGATGATCAGGGCCGTTTCTAGCCAATTTGACGCCCTAGGCGAAATCCCTATTTCCCCCCCCCCTCCCCCCCCCGACCTGCCCTCACACGTTAAGGTTCTAGC